TCCCTCTCCTCACGCCGCGCTCCCGCGCTCCCGCTGTCGCAAACCGCGGCGGCACAGGGCGCGCTTTGCCCCCCTCCCCCGTTACGTCCTGCCGTAAAGCGCTACCGGCCCGCGGAGGCGGCGCGGGACTACAACTCCCAGCATGCTCCGCGGCGGGACGCTTTGTTTATACCCCTCCATCCCCCCACCTCGGCGTCGCCTCCGAGGGCACACGATACGAGACACCGATTAAAAAGAATAAACAGTAATAAACAAATGAACAGCCCTTAAAGGACAAGCTACCGGGGCCGGTTTCCCTTCCGGGCGCGGGGGCCGCGCGGTCATGTGACGCCAAGATGGCTGCCGCGCGGCGGCGGCGGCCGTGAGGCGCGGGGCGGGCGGGCGCCATGGCGGCGCTCTGAGGGGCCGCGCCGCTGCCCCCGGCCCCCCCCGGCCCTCCCGCGGGAAATATGATCAGCGCCCCCGACGTGGTGGCCTTCACGAGAGAGGAGGAGCGCGAGGAGGAGCCGAGCGCCGAGCCGCCGCTGCCCGAGGAGTACTCGGTGCCGCTGCTGCCCTTCGGCGGCCCCGGCGCCAACCCCTGGTCCAAGGTGGCCGGCTCCAAGTTCAGCCGCGACTTCATCCTCATCTCGGAGTTCTCGGAGCAGGTGGGGCCGCAGCCCCTGCTCACCATCCCCGATGACGCCAAGGTGCGCGGCGCCTTCGACCTCAACTATTTCTCCCTGCGCATCATGTCCGTGGATTACCAGGCGTCCTTCGTGGGGCACCCGCCCGGCTGCGCCTACCCGAAGCTGAACTTCGTGGAGGACTCCAAGGTGGTGCTGGGGGACTCCAAGGAAGGCGCCTTCGCCTACGTGCACCACCTGACGCTGTACGACCTGGAGGCGCGCGGCTTCGTGAGGCCCTTCTGCATGGCCTACATCTCCGCCGACGAGCACAAGATCATGCAGCAGTTCCAGGAGCTCTCTGCGGAGTTCTCCAAAGCCTCCGAGTGCCTCAAGACGGGCAACAGGAAGGCTTTCGCCAGCGAGCTGGAGAAGAAGCTGAAGGACCTCGACTACACGCGCACCGTGCTGCACAACGAAACCGAGATCCAGAAGAAATCCAACGACAAAGGGTATTACACCACCCAAGCGATCGAGAAGGCCAACGAGCTGGCCAGCGTTGAAAAATCCATCATTGAGCATCAAGATCTGCTAAAGCAGATCCGCTCCTATCCCTATAGGAAACTGAGGGATTCTGACTTCCACCCCTATGAGCCGGAGTGCCCGCTGGATGAGGCGAGCGCGAGCTCCGAGCAGGACCTGGCTGCCTCCGAGGCCGCCGAGCCCGGCGACGCGCTCCCCTACGCGCACGTGCCGTCCTACRCCCCCAAACTCATCAAAGCCAAGTCGGCCAAGTGCTTTGACAAGAAGCTGAAGACGCTGGAGGAGCTCTGCGACRTCTACTTTTTCACCCAGACTCTGGACCAGCTGCATCAGATCGAGAGGACCTTCCGAGGCGACGTGTGCTACCTCCTGACGAACCAGATCAGCAGAGCGCTATTAAAGCAGCAAAGCGTAACCAACTTCCTCTTTGAAGACTTGTCTCTTCTGGATGAGAAAGCGCCTGAGAAGCAGCACAGAGGCTGCCAGAGACTCRGTCACGATGCCGTCAACAGAAAGTGTTTGGAAGAGCTTCCCACTCCTAAAGTGGTGATCAGCCTGGGGTCGTACAAGTCCAGCGTGGAGTGCGTGCCCATCAAGATGGAGCAGGAGATCGAAGACCCCCAAGACCCCACCATGACGGACCCCCTGGCTTTTGAGCACCAGGACAACTTGGACTATCTCGATGCGGACATTAAAGGGAGTATCAGTAGCGGGGAGAGCATTGAGGTGCTGGGGACGGAGAAGTCGGCCTCTGTTTTGAGCAAATCGGAGAGCCAGGCTAGCTTGCCCACCAGCCCGAGCCCCCAGGTGGGCCGGAGCAAGGTGGGCAGCAGGAGGACCGTCAGCGAGGACAGCATCGAGGTTCTCAGCACGTGCCCCTCCGAGTCCCTCATCCCGGAAGATTTCAAGGCGAGCTACCCAAGTGCCATTAACGAAGAGCCTTACGCGGACGATGAGGAGGGAGGCCTTCGCTTCAGCCCCAAGCTGAGCCTGGATAACGCCGACGAGCGGGAGGGCGGCCCCGAGCAGGAGGCCTTGCTGCAGGTCGATTCCGCCTGCTGCATGGGCAAGGAGAGCGCCGGCTTCCCGGAGCCGCCGGCCGCGCGGCGCGGCGAGGACGAGGACGGCGTGGTGAGCGTCCCGCCGCAGCCGCTGCGGCCGCCCGAGCAGGGCCTGCCCGGGCCCTTGGCGGGCGGCCCCGACGGCGCCTCCGCGGGGCTCCTCTGCTACGAGCTCGAGCCGGCGGGCGGCCGCGACRCCGCCAAAACCAGCCTGGACGAGTGCTCCGACTCCACGAGCTACATGAGCAGCGCCGCGTCCACGTGCTCGGAGCGCAGCCCTTCTCCCGGCCACGCCGCCGTCCCCGCCGGCGACCGGCACCGCAAACGGGCCGGGCAGAACGCGCTGCGCTTCATCCGGCAGTATCCCTTCGCTCACCCCGCCATCTACTCCCTGCTCAGCGGCAGGACCCTCATCGTGCTGGGGGAGGACGAGGCCATCGTCAAGAAGCTTGTGACGGCGCTCTCCATCTTCGTGCCCAACTGCGGCGCCTACGCCAAGCCGGTGAAGCACTGGGTCGCTTCCCCTTTGCACATCGTGGATTTCCAGAAGTGGAAGCTGATCGGGCTGCAGAGGTAAAGCGGGGCTGGGAATGAGCGAGCGGCTCTGCTGGCGTTTTTGTGGCAAGGTCTGTGTGAAAAAGGGAGGCTTCTGAGCTGGAATTTCAGATGTGGGCTGGTAGGTGGGAGAGTTCTCTAGGGAATTACCTATGCCGTAAAATTCTGCTTGTAAGGTGTCAGTGTGCATTCGTACATGGGCGTTTGTATTTGTCAGCTGCTTTATAACCAGCTGCCCTCGAGGTCTTTTGCAACATCTGTCTGGCTCCAGKCAGTTGTAGTGCTGGGAGATTTCCTATTGTTTTGGGTTTTAGCCTTCCTTCCCTTTCCCCTGCACCCGGTCCCTGAGCATGACAATTTTCTAGCCAGGATTTTGCTTCTCAAGTGGGCCCTGGGTAAACATGAGCCCTAAGGAGAGGTAACATGTGGTTGATGAAACACAGAGGTCAGGAATGGATCATCAGGGCCTTGGTCTGTGCTGGGGAGAGGATGGGTGTCCCGTCACCCGCACCAGCGGGTCACAACAGAGGGTCCCCAGAGTAGCTTAGGATGCAGGGCTGAGACTTCAGCTCTGATGTGAAGGGAACCTCTGCTCAGCGTGACTTCATCTGAAAATAAATAGACAAATGTCCCTTCCCCTGCACCCAAATGCAAAAAGTGTGGCTTCATAGCTCATATTACTTAAATAGGGATTGCTCAGCTCTTGAGACTTTGGCCTTCCTTTAATGCTGGTATGAAAACAGTTGTCCGTGTTACCGGGATGGGTTGTGACGCTGCCGGCGCGGGTGTGACAGGGAATGTCCGTCACCAAAGTGGAAATTCTGGATGAGGSTGTCAGCGCGAGAGCCGCTGGAAGGGTGTCCGGGAGCCCAGTGAGATGCTAAATACAGACACCTGCTCCCCGGCTCCCCTCATTCCCCACAGTGGGTGCTTGGGAATGACTGAATTRCCCTAAGCCAGGACTTGCTCCGATTTCTCCGCTTGTGCAGCAGGGTGGCAGCTCTGCTTCCCGACAGCTGCCTCCCAAATTCTCTGTCAGGTGAGTTTTTAAAGCCCTGGGTGTCTACAGAGTGTGCAGATAGAGGCGTTCTTCATGAACAGAAGTCTTTTCAAGACTGTTGAGGCCATGAGCTAGCCAAGCCCGGCTCTTAATGCACCAGCCAGCGGTRCCTCCCCTTGGAGGGCGCGAGAAGTGTCCCCAGCCGAGCAGTTTCACCGGGCAGGATTGAGGAGCAGGAGGCAGAGTTCACCCGGGTCTGTAATTTGCACCTAAATAGCACTTGTTTAAGCTTGTCTAATTGTGTGGTGCGAATGTGCTTTGAGTTTGCATCTTGGTGAAATATATTTAAGCTCAGCCCGAGATTGTTATGGCTTCTGCATTATTTGATTTGTTATCAAAGGAAGGGCAGAAGGTTTCACTCTGGTCAAGGCTGCGACCGCCTCGGAGCAGCTCCGAGCTGCTCGTGGAGAAGCGGAGCTCGAGGCAAGGAGGTTTCTAGTGGTCCTTCCTGCTGCATCCGGGYGCCACCGGCTGCTTCCAGAGCAGCTTCTGCTCAGCAAAGATGAAGTAGTTGCATGAGCAGCTCACGGCAGCCGCCCCCAGGGCTCCAGGAGATGAAGGTTTCTCTGGAATCTGCCAGACTAAAGAGATAACGTGACCGCTCTCTTCCATAGCAAGCTRGATTTGCCCACAGAGGCTCTTGTACCCTTGCTTACAGCCCGTTGCATGTGACACAGGGCCTGGACGTGCAGTTTGTGCTGTGTAACCTCTGYCTTCCTCTCCCTCCTAGGGACTGGAGCATCTCTTGTATGAGGAGAGACTGAGTTGGGCCTGTTTAGCTTGGAGAAGAGAAGGCTGAGAGGGATCTGATTAACATGGATAAGGACATGAAGGGGGGATGTAGGGAGGAAGGGGCCAGGCTCTTCTCAGTGGTGGCCAGTGACAGGACAAGGGGTAATGGGTGCAAGCTGCAACGCAGGCAGTTCCGTCTCCATGTGAGGAGGAACTTCTTCACTGTGAGAATGCCAGAGCCCTGGCACAGGCTGCCCAGGGAGGTTGTGGAGTCTCCTTCTCTGGAAGTCTTCAAAAACTGCCTGGATGCCACCCTGTGCCACATGCTCTGGGTGTCCCTGGTAGAGCAGGAGGTTGGACTAGATGATCCCTAGAGATCCCTTCCAACCTCAGCCACTCTGTGATTCTGTGACCACTCTGTGATTCTTCCTCCAACCGCTCTCTCCCCTTGCCCTTCCAGGACGGTGTCTCCGGCCGGGGTGAACATGCTGCACGCGCTGGGCCGCTACAGCCGCTACGTCAGCATCCTGGACGCGGACAGTAAGACCCTGCGCTGCCCCCTTTATAAGGGGACGCTGGTGTCCAGGCTGGCCGACCACCGCACGCAGATCAAGCGCGGCAGCACCTACTACCTGCACGTGCAGAGCGTCCTCGCGCAGCTCTGCTCCAAAGCCTTCCTCTTCACCTTCTGCCACCACCTGCACCTCCCCATCAGCGAAAGGGAATCCGAGGAGGCGGTCGTGAACCGCAGGATGAACTTTCTGAAGCTGCACCTGGGCCTTGCTAATGAAGATATCAAGATTGTACAGTATCTGGCTGAGCTGCTGAAGCTGCAGTACATTCAGGAACCCGACCAGGGSGGGAACCCTCTGCTCAGATTTGACTATGTTCCCAGCTTTTTGTACAAAATCTAGTGTCATCTCTGGGCTGTCCACCGTCGTGCTTGGATTCCCACAAAGATCATCCGTGCTTGACGTTGCTGCTGTCTCTAGTAGCTCTCATATATCAGGAACGGGCAAAAATCCTGCTGCTTTTGCAAGTGTCTCTGCTCRGTAGAAATTAATGTCCAAGCGACCTAATTTCTGCGTGGCCCAGAGCTTAGATGTTTCATCACATAAAACACTGGCCGCTCTGGTTTTAATGTTGAAAGGGACACTACTAACTCCTAATGCACTGGACAGGAGTGTTGCAGGGGGGTTATGGCATGGAGAGAGGTGGGCTCTCACCTGAAGTGATATTTAGCCACGTGCACCCCAAAATGTGCGGAGCCCAGGATGCTTTTGCTGTCTGCTCTGGAGCCGTGGCAGAGACTGGGGAAGCGTAAAAGCCGCGTGAAGACTTGAATCCGCCCGTGTCTGGCCCGCGTGTGGGGTGTGATTGATGTGCATGCTGAAGATTGCTGGGGAGATGGCAGCATGCAGTCACCCGTRCGACACCGGGGTGGCCTGCGTCCTTTGGGGAATTTTGAGAGTTCCCTGGCGCTTCCCAGAGCTGGCTGTCCCTGAGGCCGCGGGTGGCCATGGAAGCGCGGGAGCTTCTGCACCGGGAATGCTGCCCGATCCCCGGCCTTGCAGGAACGGGGCGCCTGGAGAGGCTTCTGCTGCTGTGAATGTAGAGCCTTGTGCCTTGGTAAGGGACACATCCTGCTTGCGTGGCCACCACTGGGAGCGATGGCAGGGAGACCAAGGTTTCTCCAAGCCTGGGAGGCCAAGGGTGGCCTTTAGGGAAAGCTGGGAGCTGGGCAGAGCAAAGGGAAGGCTCGTTTTTACATTATTTTGTTTTTTTTTTTGTGGTGGGGAAGCAGCGGGGCAGCGAGCTGCAGAGCAGGCTGCCCGGCTGGTGAGCCCCTAGTGCTCAGCAGAGATCTGGGGTGAATGTACTCGTCCCCTCTTGTATCCGTGTAGCCTTTTTGTTGGGGATTTGAATTTTGTGCTTTGTGGTGAAGCAGGTTCGGTGTCACTGCATGCTGCTTCTGGCCAGGCCAGTTTATTTTAATGCCAACCATTGTAATTTCTTGACTACCTCTCCCGTGACGTTCCTGGGAAGTTCTGGACGGGGCCGAGCTGCAGCAATCCGAGCTCGGTCCTCGGATACCAAGGGAGGATCCTCCTTTCAAAGCTTCTCTACTGCTCTCCGTGCCAGCAGGGTCGCGTCGCCACCAGGGTGATGCTCCTGCAAGGTTGTTCCTGGCAGTGCTGAGAGGTCAGTGCCGGCCGCTGGGATCCACCGCTTCCCTCTGGAATCTCCTCGGACTGGAGGAGACTGGAGTCTCCTCKGCTGCTGTCGTGAGCTGGAGGTTGCCCCGCATCCAGTGCCAGGTGGTAACCGCAGCTTCYGCAGTACTTTTAAGCAAGAAAAAGCCTTGCTAGGAAAGACAGCCCTGGTTTTRCTTTCTGCCACTGTTCTCGTCTGATTCTGGAGGGAAAGTGTCTTAGGTTTTACATGACTAGCTGAAGTACCAGGGGCTTTTATAACCTGTATTTATTGTGATGGTGTGAGACGGTGCTGGAGCTGCCTGCTCAGCGTGGGTTGGAAGCTGCTGTGGTCGCTGCGCTGCCCAGATTGCTGCGTCCCCAGCCCGGGGGTGCAGGGAAGGCTGTTGCCTGTGGCTGTTGTGTGCGGCTGTTGTGACAACCGCGTGCTGGAAGGCTGTTCAGACACAAGTGCTGTTTCTGGTGGCTTTTGGCGCTGCCAGGACACTTGTGTGGGCAGCACGAGGGGTTCCCAAGCACGGAGCTGCCGGCACCGCAGGTAGCAGCGACCCACGGGGGCTGCTCCGTGTGTGCAGGGGGCTGCAGGGCGGCCTTGGCCGTGGAGGAGCGTGTCCGAAGACCTCGGCCGCTCCCAGTGCTGCCGGTGCTGCCGCCGGCACGTGGGAGCGGGGTCTGCTGCTGGGAGACCCCCGTGCTCCCCGATACGCCCGTCCTGAAGCGGCTTCGAGTGTCTCCTGGTTCGTTTGTGCACATCCCAATGACTTCCAAGGTAAAGGCAAGGCAGGATCCGCATGGGAAGGGGCAGCACTGTAGTGAGCGAGTGACGGGGGTCCCACGGGGCAGTCTGTGTGTCTCCTGGCCTGCTGCACTGGAGAGGTGCTTGTTTTGAGCACAGGGCACCACAGGAGCTGGTGCTCTGTGCTCAGAGCTCCCTCGTGTTTGAGCAGGGAGACGCAGACACRTTGGGCTGCGTGTCCCCCCTGCAGCCGGGCGGCTCAGAGCAATAGAGCAGAATGGGGGATCTGTGTCGAGTGACCTCTTAGTGGTCTTTGCCTGTAGTGTTTAACTGCACTCATAAACTGGCAAAAAAAAAAAGTCACTTTCCTCCCTTTATCAAGTCTGTAATATCTGGTATGTGAGGCTGTGTTTCGCAGTGCTTGTTCTTCCACCCATCTGATTCTCTTCATCTCTCGACCACGAAGCAGTTTGGGGTTCAGGGAGCGCCTGGGGCTCGGCTGGCACCATCGCCCGTCCCTGGACGGGCAGCCAGGGCAGCTCCGCGTTACCTGCRCCAGGAGCTGAGGAGAAAGGAGCCTCGAAGGGCTGGGAAGCTGCTCCCACTTGGGGAGCCCCAAACCTTCCTCCCCACGGCAGGTCCCAGGGAATTACGTGTACTCCGGCATTCCCRTGGCACGGAATGTCGTCGTCTGGAGCCCGACCTGCCCGTGCTGCTCGCAGGGCTCCTAAGGGGCACAACGGGGGCAGCCCGAGTGCAGCGGGGGGCTCRGGAGCCGCTTCCCTCTCTGCTCAGCCCCTTTTCCGCCCCATCTGACTGCAGCAGCACTCCCTCTCGCAGCACTTTAAGACTTTTTCCTCATCTTCACTGTGTTACCTCCATAGTTGCCGGCATTAGACAACCTAATAACAAGTTAAGATCYTAGTATAACAATTCCAGCAGTCTTGGCATGTTAGTTGGCTTGCACTGCACCACCCGAGCTATGTGCACCACCACCCAGCCCACGGGCACCTTCGTGTGGCCACCAGACACACACGTGGCCCTTGTCCCTTCTCCGAGCGCTGCCTCGTGTCCTTGTCTCTTGCATGGGGCTCCTGAATTCATCCGAGCTGAGGTCTCCTGTGACCACCTGCCCTTTTGGATGTCCCTGCTCCTCCAGCTCCCTGTSTTTGGAGATGTCCCGCTCTAAGGTAAACTAGCCCGCCGCTTCCCGATGCAACCCCGAGGAGGGCCAGCCATAGGAGTAGGCAATATTAATATTATTAGGTTTCGTTTCTCAGAGAATAGTGCTCAGATTTCTGCTTCCATCCAGTGGCAATCACTTCTGCAGCTCCAAAGCTGGCACCCCTTGACTAGGGAAGTGCTGCCTCGACTCTAGCAATATTCACCCTTTTGTGAGCGGTGGGAGAAGAGCTTGGGGAGCAAAAGCCGAGTCGGGCTGATGGCTCCGTAACTCCAAGCCTGTTCTTTGGCTTCCATTTGGCACCGGATGAGCGGAGGTGGCCCTGCTCCCGCKGCAGGTAAGGGGCTGCTTTGCACACACGGCCTTTGGGAGGGCTGGGTAGGACCCGCTGCGGGACACAGGGCTTGTTTGTACCAGCRCTTTGCGAAGGCTCCTGCAATCAGGTCAGAAACACGAGGAGCTGGAGGTGTTGAGGGAAGGCGCCTGCTTTGTGCCGTGCCGCAGGGCACGGAGTTTTAGAGCAAAACTTTGTACCTGATAGCTCCGGGTGAGCCCAGACTTGTCCCCGGAGCTCGAGCGCTGCAGCYGAGCGCTGCGTTTGGGCTGCAAGGCAGAAACACAGGGTCCCTGGTCCCSTTGGCACCCTCGATGCAGTCCGAGTGGGCACGGAGCTGGGAAAAGAGCTGCCTTTGAGGGCTGCCGGGAGGCTGGGGTGGCTTCTCGCCTTGTTTCCCAGCACGGTATCCTAATCCCTGCATGTGGAGCTGCGTGTGTRTGCGTGCCCGTGTGTGCAGAACGCTTGCGGCGGTAGCTACGGYGCGTGCGGGGTCCCCGAGGAGCAGGGCTAGTGCAGGGCCGCACAAGAGCCCGGCCTGTGTGAACACCAACTGACGAGGCTGAGAAATGTACTTTTAAAAAAATTATTTATTTGGGTTCAGATATTTTTGAAATACAAAAAAAAAAAAAAAAAAATTGGTTGTATTTTTTAAGCTTTTAATTCTTGTCATATGTTGTGGTTAAATTCTTAATTTTACTGTGCTTATTAAAAAATGGTTCTGCCTAAGCGCCGGGCTTTGGCTGTGCCCGGAGAGCAGAGACGGGGGATAATTCATAGCAGTGATGGAGCAGGGATCCCGGGGAGGGCAGTGCTGGGGATGCAGGACGGAGTCCCCGAAGCCTCTTCCCGAGCACCCGAAACCTCTTCCCGCCGTGGGTGACGCTGCGGCGCGTGGGCCCCGGGAAGCACCAAGGCCGGGCCGGCCCCTACGGCTGCTCCCGCCGGCGCCGCATCCAGGCCAGGCCCCGCGAGGCTTCGGAAGGCAGCGAAGCRGCCACTTGGATGGAGAGCTGGATGAGCCCCCCGGCCTGGCCGCAGGGTGAGGGGGACCTGCTCCGGCCCCTCGGGCAGCCGGGCTATCCTGCTTGAGGGGTTAGTGGTTAAAGGGCTGGTGTTTCCCCGCTGTGGGGGCAGATCCCATGCCCCTAATGTGAGGGGAGAGGTAAGAGCCGAACCAGGAGCAGCGGCCGGACGGAAACCAGGGTGGGGAGGGAGGTGCCCAGGCAGCACCCACTGCAGGGGCTGGGCAGGAGCCGCCGGGGTCCCGGCTCTGGCACCGGCTCCGTTACAGGACGGGCAGCCCCGGGAGCGGGAAGGTTCCTGCAAAAGCCTCCACCTCCTCCTTGAGCGCCTTGAGCTCTGCCCGGTACGTCTCCTCCTCCAGTCTCTCCTTGAACTCCTTGAGCGTGGCCTTGGGGCTCATGGYGTTCTGCACGCGCAGGGTCAGCTCGATGCCTGGGGGGACGGGGACACGCGGGTCACCCCGCGGCGGCGGCGGCGCCGCGCCGGCCTCGCGCCCGCGCCGGCCTCACCTCTGTGGATGTAACGGGCCACCCGTCGGAAATCGTCCTGCCGGAAGCCCCGCGAGGTCAGAGCCGGCGTCCCGAAGCGCAGCCCGCTGGGCCGCAGGGCGCTGACGTCGCCTGTGCCGAAATGAGCCGCCCGTCACCCCGCCGCGGTGGCGCGAGGTGACCCAGCCTGGTGCCGGCCACCTGCGCCGCTCCGTGCGGACACGAGGGTGCACGAGGAATGGGAATCGCATGAGCCCGTGGGCTCTCTCACCGGGACACGTGTTCTTGTTGCAGGCGATGGAGCAGAGCTCCAGCACCCGCTCGGCCCGGCCGCCGTCCGTGCCCTTGTTCCGCAGGTCCAGGAGGATGAGGTGGTTGTCAGAGCCCCCTGCAAAGAGGGGAATTTGGAAGGGGAACGTCTCAGCACCACTGCCAAGAACAGCAGTTTTGCAGAAGCCCTCGGGAGCAGGGCCCGTCCCCGCAGGCAGAGCTGCCCGGCGCCGCTGCCCCTACCCGTGACGATGTTGTAGCCCAGCTCCAGGAGCGCCGCCGCGAGCGCCTGGCAGTTGGCCACCACCTGCTGCTGGTAGGCCTTGAACTCGGGCGTCATGGCCTGCTGCAGCGCCACGGCGATCCCTGCGGAGCGGGGACGCGCGGAGCTCAGCGGCGCTGCCAGCAGCGCTGCCAGCCGAGGCCGAGCGACGTGCGGGTGCAGGCTGGGGAGGCCGAGCAGCGGGGCAGCGCCCGGGCTCTGCACCCCGAGCGGTGCCAGGCACCGAGAGGCCCCTGGGGTGCTGGGGGAGCCGAGCGGCTGTTTTGCCCCAGGCCTTGGTGCGGGTGCCCGGTGCTGCCGCAGCCCCTGCGCTGGTGCCAGGCCCACCTGCGATGGCGTGGTTGTGCGGCCCGCCCTGCAGCCCCGGGAACACCGCCTGGTTGATGAGGCTCTCCAGGTTGTAGAGCGTTTCCTTGCCCGTCTTGGGATCCACGCTGCGGGTGCCTGTGGGGCGCGAGGGCAGCGTCACCCACGGGGCAGAGCAGCCTCCCACCACCCCGCAGCCACAGCCGGGTCCTGCCCAGCAGGGACTGCGGTGAATCCACCTCACACGTGGCCCACAGCCACCCCCTGAGCCCTGCGAAGGTCCCCAATGTCCCCAGGAGCCTTTCCGAGCCCGGGCCGGGCAGCTCCCCCGTCCCAGCCGCACGTTTCTCCCGGCTCCCTGGCCGGCGCGGGCACCTTTGCGGTAGAAGATGATGCCGGCCCTGCAGCCGCGCAGCGTCTTGTGCGTGGTGGTGGTGACGACGTCGCAGTGCTCGAAGGGCGAGGGCACGAGGCCGGCGGCCACCAGCCCGCTGACGTGGGCCATGTCGGCCATGAGCAGGGCGCCGTTGGCGTCGGCGATGCGCCGCATGCGCCCGTAGTCCAGGTTGCGTGAGTAGCAGCTGAAGCCTGGGGGGGACACAGCGGCTGCTCGAGGTGCGAGGCTGCAGGAGCTGCTGCCCACGGGCCCCGGGACAGCCTGGGGACAGGGGGGACCCGGGGACGGGTGGTGGACGGAGGTTTGAGCAGCACCTGCTATGATGAGCTTGGGGTGGAACAAGCGGGCGTTCTCCTCCAGTCGATCATAGTCGATGTAACCGGTCTTGGGGTTCACCTGGGAGGCRAGGAGGGTTCAGCCGCCTCGGCACGGGGGAGGATGAGCCCAGGGCCACCCCGCGCGAGCGGTGCTGGCACCGGGGTGATGGGATGGAGCTGGGGGCAAGGAGTGAGAAGGGAGGGGACCTGCAGCTCCTCCTAACTCATCTGCCTCCTCCTCACCTCCCAGGTCACCTCACCTTGGAGACGAGGCACATTTAACCTCCCTGGTTGGACCACGTTGCTCCTAAAGGGCTCTAGCACTTGTGGTGACCACATCCCTGCGCAGCTGCAGCGGTTCTCCATACCTTGTAGGGCATGGACTCGAAGAACACGGAGGTGGCGGAGATCTTCTTCTTGTCGGTCATGAAGCCGTGGGTGAGGTGGCCGCCGTCGGGCAGGTCCAGCCCCATGATCCTGCCGTGGGGCTCCACCAGGGCCGTGTAGACTGCAAAGTTGGCGGGGGACCCTGCGGCGAGAGCCCGGTCACGGTCACGGGGCGCGCGCGGGAGCGGGGCGCATGGAGCGTGGCTGAGYGCCGCTACCTGAGTACGGCTGCACGTTGACGCCCCACTTCTGTGGGTCCAGCCCGTAGGCCTGCAGGGCTCTCTTCTGGCACAGCCTTTCCAGCTCGTCTACAAACTCGGTGCCACCATAGTACCTGTTGGCAGAGGACGGCRGCGTTTACGCCGCTTGCTTAGTACCAACTGCAAGGGATTAAAAGCAAACTGATTGAGAAAGGTCCACGCGACCAAGGCCGTGCTGGGAGGAACCAGGGACATGGTGTTTGCGGCAGCAGCCAGGGCAGCAGGATGGCCCTGGCACCACCAAGGGCAGCAGCAGAGGGGATCAGACCCTGCCCTGGACAGGGGGGTTGTTTCTCTCTCCTCCCGGTGAGGGTTTGGGTGGATTGTCCGATACCTCTGTCCGGGGTAACCCTCGGAGTATTTGTTGTTCATGCAGGATCCCAGGGCTTCCAGGACTGCTCGGCTTGCAAAGTTTTCCGAGGCGATTAACTCCAGCTCCAGCTTCTGGCGCTGCTTCTCCTTCTTGATGATGCCAAACACCTTTGGGGGACAGGAGGGACTGCTTCACTGCGCGCGGGGACACGGACACTGACAGCTGGGGGTGCATCCCCAGAGGGGAAATCACGGGCGAGAGACTTGGAAAAGTGCCGGAGAAAGGAGGCAAGATCCCTTCCTGGTCCTGAACAGCTCAGGTGTCCTGTCACAGACCTCCTGTCGGGTTTCTAACTCGGCTGCCATTTGGTAGGGGACAAACCCCGTAGCCTGGGTGGCTACAGAAAGTGCCAGGCTTTGGCCACGCAGGCCTGGCCCCTGTGTGCGCTTCCGCAGACACCTGCGCTCCAGGCAGAGGGGAACAGGGGACAAGTGCCACGTGGGGACGGCGTCACGAGCTTGGAGGGGCCCTCCCTCCACGACCGGGCACAGGGACCGGCTCAGCCTTGGAGCCTCCCAGTCCTGCGCCCCTGGCTCGGGAGGTCAGTGTCCCCGTGGCTGCCGGGCACAGGGAAGTGGGTGCCCGTGCTGACCTGCTCCGCCGGGAGCGGGTTCTCACCTCCGGATCGTTGCTCTCCAGCGGCTCCATGACCATCCTGTTGTGGGAGGCCCAGAGCTCCGTGCTCGGGGGGTCCCCGCTGCCCGGCRCCGGCTTCGCCATCTCCCTGATGCCTCCTGCGTAGTCTGGAGCTGGAAAAGGAGAGTCAGTGGAGCCGGCTGGGCCGGGGTCTCCACTGCATCCCTACCCCGTGGGAGCGGTAGGATGGGAAGACACTGACGCCTCTCGGGGAACTGTCGCTGGTTGAAGCCCAGTTCTCCAGTTACGGAGCCTCGGTCATTTCCAATGCCTGCAAGGCTGCCCTGCTCAGCCCGGCACAGGCAGCTCCCGCTGCCCCCAGCCCYGCTCGGCGCCAGCAGCCCGGCCTGTGCCCTGCTGCAGCAGCAGCCCCTGCGCTGCGAGCCCTGGGAGCGCCCTAGRGCACAGCACGAGCTCCCAGGCCCCGCCATGGCCCTGCTCCGGCTCCCGTCCCGCCTGGAAACAATCCCGGTTTTGCCCGCTCACGCGCCAGCCTCGCGCGGGGCCCTGAGCGGAGTATTAAACAGGCGCCCGCGGTTTCCTGGCATCCACCGGCTCGCAGCCCGCTCGGGCCCGGTATCCGCCAAGCCCGACACCCCGCCGTGTCCCCAGAGCCGCCCGCGAGGAGGGGACAGCGCGGGGGCCGCTGTCCCTGCAGGGAGGAGGCGGCCGGGGCTGTCCCGGGGTCAGCGCAGGGCCGGGGACCCACGCGGGACGCACCCGCCCGCGCTGCCTACCTGGCGCGGACACGGCGCGGCGCGGGGAACCGCGCGCTACCATAGCCCGCGCGGACACGCCCCTGCGCGCCTCGGCCAATCGCCGCCGCGCTTCGGCCGGCGGCGGACACGCCCAAGGGGGCGCCGCGGCCAATCCGCGCCGCGCCTCG